TTACAAGTTTTTGCTCCCAGCTTCAGGCACACTAGTCAGGATTGGCTTCTGTTGAGGGTGGGCAGTGAAGCAGGAGCCAATCAGTGTCGAGGGGCGGGCTGGATGAATCGTCCAATCAGGTGTCTCAGGCGCGGTTGGCTTTGTTTCCGGGCTGCAAAGTCCGGACCTACGGCTCAGGCAGGGACTTCACCTAGCTGGGTTAGCAGCTGGCAGCTAAGATTTCTGCGGGTACAGGCCGCGTGGGAAGCACCGGGGATACCCTCCAGCCACGCAATGGTGACGTTATGGCAAAGGTGCCCTGCTGGGGGCCGCGGCCGTGGGGCGAGGTGGGGGTGGGGGCAGGGGGACGTCTGTGGCGGACGGAGCCTCCTCGCCGCTCCGGGGCCAGTTCCTCCTCCCTGGGCACAGCGCACCGTGTCCCTCCCGCCCCGCCTCGGGCAGGGCTGCGGTGTGCACCAGCACCCCCTCCGCAGCCGCCCGCCATCCTAGAGTACAGTCTTCCACAGCAGCGTCTCCAGTTCTGTGTGGAGACAGGGAACTCAGGGGAGATCGACCGCGATTCCGGTGCTGGGCCGAGCTAGGGAGCTGTGTGTGTGGATCCCTGGTCCCGTCATCCTCCGCAGAGCTGGAGGACCCCAGCTCTGCAGATATCTGGAACATGGGTCCTCAGAGCCACACCTTAGCTCCGTAGGCAAACGTTGCTCAGTGATGAGAGCAAACTGCCAAAATTCCAACATGTGCCCACAGTGCCAGACTCAGGAGGAGTGATGAGCGAGGCCATGAGAGTTGAAAGAAAGGGTTGCCAGGCGCGGTGGCGCACACCTATAATGCCAGCACTTGGGAGACCAAGGCAGGAATTCTGCTGGGAGCTGGAGTCCTCCCTGGGTTACCTAGAGAGATCAAGCCCAGGATCTGCCTGGACAACATAGTGAGAACTTGAGACAAACAAAAACCAGAAGAAGAAAAGAAGAGGACAAGGAAAAGAAGAGCAAGGAGGGGAAGAGGGAGGAGGAAAAATTGAAACAAATGTAAACTCCTGTCTATGTATATGAACTCCTGTTTTGCATACACAGCAATGCAAAAACAATTTGCATCTTAGTGAGGTAGTTGGCACCTTTACTAACAAGAGAAACCACTTAGTGAGGGCTCCCACACAGGTTAGCATGCTGAGAGAGGCTGGGGATGGTGATGTGTTAGCAAGGCCAGGAGAAAGTATTCCTGCTAAGTACTATGGAAGGAGCTGCCTCTTATGCACAATGTGGAAGTCACTACACTGGGCCAACTACACAGACATGTGATTTGATAGGAGTGGAAAGGGAGAGTGGCAGCACCCCAGCTAATTTTTGTAGTCCTTGGACTCTAAGCACTGTTTCAAGAACTGAAATACTGATTGAGGTGGGCTTTATAGTACAGGGATATCCCAAGAGGAAAGCCTGAGATGTGGGCTCTGCAGCCACGTATGTGGTTAGTGCTCAGGGCTTTCTGTGCATGGAGGAGCAGATGGGAAGACAAAGTGAGAGAGGAGGGGATGGCGAGGGAGGTAAAGGCCACAGCTACAACACGGGGCCCTGCCTTGAGGTCAGATTGTCAGTGTGACCATAAAGTTTGTTGTGTGCCGCCAACATCTGAGAGTGAGTCCAGTGTGACAGCATTAAGGAAAGAGAAGACAGTAAAATTTAGATTATAAGTTTTCTTCTAGGACTGCAGAAGCCACCTAATCAATACATGTTTTTGTTTTTGTTTGGGAGACAGGGTGCTCCCATGTAGTTCACACTGCCCTGAACTTACTGTGCAGACCAAGTTTGTCTCCACCTTGTGACAGTCCTCCTGACTCAGTCTCCTGACTCCTGAGACTAGACGTGTATGCCAGTGCGCATGTCATCAGTTATTCCTGAATGGAAATTACAACCTTGGGTAATGTCCTAATTAGACATGACTTTGTCTTAAAAATTGTTGGCCAG